GGGGTCCAAATCCCACAGGAAGTCAGCCATTTTGAATCAAAACAATCACTTTGCTTTTTTACCTTTGTGACCTATTTGAGCGAACTCCTCCTAGACCGTTTGAGTTACAGAGTTCAAACTTACTCCACCTTGAGCTGAGGTACGGGGGATCAAAAGTTATCAAAGGAATTTTTCTACATCAAAGCATGTGGGCGTGGCCAAGCGTCAAATGTGGTCCCTTTGCTATGAAACACAATGCAAACCCCAGGCCATTTTTTTAATGAGAGTTATGAAATTTGGTACACATATGTAACCCATCTGGACCTAAAAAAGTTATATTGGAGCCATGGTCTAAACCCCACAGGAAGTCCGCCATTTTGAATCAAAGCCATCATTAGCTTTTTCATCTTTATATTGTATGTTAGCTTACTCCTCCTTGAGCGATTGGGCTGCAAACTTCTAACTTGCTGAGCCTAGACTTAAGACATAAGGGATCAAAAGTTATCAAAAGATTTTTGCTGTGACAAACCATGTGGGCATGGCCAAGCATCAAAATTAGACTTCTCGCCATTAGAGTATGACTAAACTGCCTCAGGCACTGCTTTTATTAAGGATTATTAAATCTGTATAACGCAACAGGATGCTCAAAAAAGTCAATTAAAGCCATGGTCCACACCCAACAAGAAGTCAGCCATTTTGGATCAAAGTTACCATTTTCTTTTTTTAAGTCATGACATATCTGAGTGAAGGGCTCTTGGTTTTTTTTTAGTTAGAGACTTCAAATTAACTTTACATGGACTATAGTCATAGCAGTTTAAAAGTTATCAAAATTATTATTCTACATGGAAGCATGTGGGCGTGGCTAAGCATCAAACTGTTAACTCCAGTCATACAAAGTCATGCTTTTAGGAGGAGGAGAAGGATGATGAGGATGAGAAACAAACAGCAGTAGGAGACACAGTGAGAGCAGCAGCAGGAAGAGGAATATGAAGAGAAGGAGCACAGGGGGAGGAGGATGATTAGGATGATAATAAGAAGAAGTAGAAGGAAGGGGAGGATTTAGAAAAGCAGCAGAAGGAGGGGAAGGATGAAGATAGGCAGGAGCAACAGGAGGATGAGGAGAATGAGCAACACGAGGAGGAGGAGGGTGGTAAGGAAGAGAAACAGCAGAAGGAGAATGGGGGAGGATGAAAAGAAGCAGGATAAGGAGGATGAAGAGGATCAGGAGAAGCAGCAGCAGGCAGGGGATGAAGAGAAACAGCAGCAGCAGGATGAGGAGAAGGAGATGCAGCAAGAGCAGCAGCAGGATGAGGAGAAGGAGATGCAGCAAGAGCAACAGCAGGAGGAGGAGAAGGAGACGCAGCAAGATAAGCAGCGGCAGGAGGATGATGAGGAGAAGCTGCATTAGCAGGAGGATGAGTAAGAGGAGGAGAGGCTGCAGGTGGAGGAGAAACAGTGGCAGCAGCAGAATAAGAAGGAGGGGGAGGATAAAGAGAAGCAGCAGCAGGTATAGGCTGAAGAGCAGGAGCACAGGCTGGGAAGGAGCATGGAGGTGGAGGTCGCTTGGTTCCAGCGATCGCAACATACCAGGCGGTGCGAGCTGCGAGGGCCGCACAATGCCACTTGTGGCTTTAATTGGTTTTATTTTTGTAACCAGGTTGCAGTGTATTGCAGATCTCTGCCCAGGTCCCTCTTGAAAAGGAGATCCAGATCTCAACAGGGTTTACCTGGTTAAATAAAGGGAAAAAATAAAAAAATAAAAAAAAGACTGTATGACACAATGTTTTGAAACTTTATTATGTTAAAAAAACACTAAACATTAAATTCTATTTAGGATTTCTGCAGGATCTCACATACATCACAAATGTCATGTTTTCAGCATCATGCAAATGGAGAATGGAGATTTGTTTTCTATCTAGAAATGTTGGTTCCTTATGGTTTAATTCTTTGTTTATTGTTTTCTTTGTTTTGTTTTTCTCAGTTACTGTCCTAGTCTTGGTTCTGTTATATTTTCTTTTTAGTGTTCAGTTTTGCTTTGCTCCTTGTTTTCTAATGTTAGTGGTTTAATAATTATTTTGTAGTGTTTTCTACTTATTTCCAGTCTTCTGGTTTTTTCATTTGTTGCCCGCTGCTGCCCTCCTGTGTTCTCCTTTCTCCATAGCTCCTGTTTTGTTTCTGCTCTGTCTTCACCTGTTCCCAATCTTCTCATTAGCCCTCTCTTTGTCTCTGTCTCCTTTAAAAGCCCTCTCTCTACAGTTCCTCTTAGCTGGGTCCTTGTCTAACATCTTCAGTCTTCTTCCACTTCGTCTCTCTGTGTCTTCCTCCTTGAGTTTTGATTCCCTGATGTCTCCATGTTTTTCTGGGTTTTTTTTTTCTTATTATTTTTTCATGTTTTAAAATTTTTTTTTTTTCATGTTTGTTTTTTGGACCTTGTTTCCATTTTGGATTTTGGATTCTTGATTGCCTGTTTGTTTGGACTTTGCTTTTTTCAGTTACTCCTTCATTAAACCAACCATGAAATCAACTCTGCCTACCTGCCTCTGCTTTTGGGTCCTCAACCCTCAAACAAATCCTGACAGTTTCTCACTCAAAGCTAGAAGTAAATTGGTAGCAGCAACATTCCTGCCACTTCTGGATTATGGAGATGTCTTATATATGAATACTTCAACCAAATGTCTAAAATCATTAAATACTGTTTATCATTGTGCTTTAAGGTTTATAACTGGTAGTAGATGTTTGATACATCATTGTGATTTGTATGCAAAAGCTGATTGGCCCTCTTTAAGTGTTCGGAGAAACAATCATTTGATGATCCTTATATATAAATCTCTCCTTGGACTAACACCAACATACATAAGCTCTCTTTTGCATAGATCTAGTACATTTTTTACGCTCAAATGTCTTTATTCTTCTACATGTTCCTCGTGTTCGAACTGATAAAGGAAAGAAAGCATTCAGTGCGTTTGCTCCTACAGCGTGGAATCAGCTTCAGTCTGAGCTCAAGATGTCAGACACTATTTCATTGGACTTATTTTGAGCGGTTCTTAAAGATAGATAACAAGCTTCTATGACACAGTGTCAGTGCTCTAAATAGTTTTTATTGTTTTATATTTGTGCATATGTATTAATTGGTTTTATTTTTGTAACCAGGTTGCAGTGTATTGCAGATCTCTGCCCAGGTCCCTCTTGAAAAGGAGATCCAGATCTCAACAGGGTTTACCTGGTTAAATAAAGGGAAAAAAAAAATAAAAAAAAAAAAGACTGTATGACACAATGTTTTGAAACTTTATTATGTTAAAAAAACACTAAACATTAAATTCTATTTAGGATTTCTGCAGGATATCACATACATCACAAATGTCATGTTTCAGCATCGTGCAAATGGAGAATGGAGATTTGTTTTCTATCTAGAAATGTTGGTTCCTCTTCATCATTCTCCGGTTAAAGCGGATTATCTTGGCTCTCTATCTGCATGTCCTCCTGGATCCTCTCCATAGTGTCAGTCATCAGCTGGCAGGCCTTCTTGTGTTTAGGCCAGTGCTTCACCTGGCATGATCTTCAGAGAAGAAAAACATGACAGAGGTCAAAGTAAATCAGTAGGAAAATTTGATTTTTTCCTTTACAAATGAAGACTGATCTGCATTTTTCACCCCCCAGGTCAATTTAATCACATTTTGATACACCACAGCTGTCAGACTCTTGAATAAGTTGAAAACAAAGCTTCAGTGCTTTCTGATTGGATGGAGAGTACCTGTAAAATAAGTTTTCAAGTCTTGAGGATTTTGACTAGGTCGTCTAATAGATGAATATGATTAAAACATTCCTTTTCAGCTCTGGATGTATGTTTATCAGCATTGTCTTGTAGAAATGGGATTTTCTAAGTCATTGTCAAGTATTTTTCAGCCTGTAACAATTTTATTCTAAGGGATTGCACTCTGCATTTTATTCTTTTTTTTTTTTTTTTTCAAAACACAGCATGTATCCTAAAAGTTTCAAGCTTGGTCTAATTAGATCAGAGCATTCCTATTTGTTGTCCTTTAAAATTATCAACACAAACTGCAAACAAGAACTTTTATGGCTCAACAGTAGCTACCTTCGTTACGCCATCCATTCTCCTCCAGTTGCCACCTCTATTCAACGCTCTCTCTAACAACCTGTCTGTTTAGATGTACTTTTACGTCTTGTTAGGTTTGCAGTTTTTTCTGCTTTGCTCTTCCCATTTTGTCATCATACGACAATTGTTCATGAACAAACATAAACTGGTTTACATCTTTTCTCTAGATTAAAGTTTTCATGATAAAAAAAAAAACCCACAGGTGTCAACAAGTGTTTTTTTTTTTTCCAATTAAGAGCATATTGATGACATTCACACTGTACTGGAGATAATATGTCTTCTAACAAGCAGGAGAGAACAAAAAACATAAGAACATCTAAATTTATTGTGGGGAAAAACATTTTTTTTTGGCTGTAAGTATGTTGTTCCATGTTGTGTGTTTTTTGTCATACTGTCCTGACCATTTGTACTAAGTAAATACAATTTAGCTAGTTTCCCTGCAAATCACATGGTTAGCATGTGCTCATATTTATGTTTCCAGCTAGTGCATGGTGTTCTGTCATAGTTTACAGTACAACTGTCCCCAAACTGGAAAGCTACTTAAAATCCAGGAAAGTATGGGTCCATTGCTGGATAGCGGGTCCTGGGGACATAAAGATTGTACAGCTGCAGATGATTTCTACAACTAAAAATATCTGATTAATGATGGTGGGAATGGGGTGTTAGGTTGTCTTTTAGACCCCTATCAATAAATAAAGTATTTAAGATGTCTCTGCTCTTAAAAAGCTGTTTTATTATTATTTATTTTTTCCTGGTTTCAAAACTGCCTTTTGGGATGTCATGTTTGCTGTGTTAATTTTTAGGTGTTTAATAAAAGCAGTGCTTAAAAAGGTCTGAGATTTAATAGTTTCATTTTCGGGTGTCTTTCTATGTGAACTTTATTTATTTATTTGCAAAGGAAATTTATTAGAAAGCAATAAAACTCTCACAATAACACCCTTACTGAGACAAAAAGAGAAGTTTATTTAGGGAAAAAAAATGTTTTTATGACAATTGTCTCTGAGAGAGAGTGTTCAGAGGATTAGCACTAATTAGCGATGTGAAAAATCAGCCCTGTCTAATTATATTTAAAAGCTATAAGCAATTATCAGACAGGTGTATTTTTAATACGGTTGGTTTAGGTCCAATAATCTTGGAGAAGTTGGAAGAAAAGAAAAAAAAAGTGTTGAAACTAACCCCTGCTCTGTTTATCAAATAAATGAGTTTGAATGGAAACAGCTGTGTCAGATTTTGATAAGGATATTTAAATTGTATCGGAGCAAAGGATGCTAAATATTAATTCAGGCTTCATTTTTACAAATTTCTGTTCGTGATATCTTTTGCCAAACTAATGGGGAAGCCTTTCCATTAAAATTTCAGTAAAATACAGTAAAAATTTGGCGATGTAGCATGTAAAAATGTCAGTACTAGCCCTCCATATATTACCTGTTACAGTACCACTCTATCTGGCATCTAGAGCATCTCTTTGAAGCCTCTTTACCACAGGATCCACACTTTGGTTTCTCTGGGAGCAAACGCTCCATGACATCCAAGTTGTATGTCTGGGCCAACCTTAATGAGAGATTTTTAAAGCACCAGTTTGTGAATTTCCCTCCTATATTCTTTCACATTGCACTCAGGTTAGTGTTTCAAGGATTACTTACCTCTGGGCCTGATGTTGTAAGTCACTGTCAGATGGGCTAAATGTTTCTTTGACCTGATATTTTGCTATTGCTTTCCACTTCCCAGAATTGTCTCTGACAATCTGGCTCCACATTTCTGGGATCTGAACATAAAGAACATCTGAGGGTGAGAGCGCGGAAGATGGGAATGAAGGTACATGTGTCAAAGTGACTGTACCTGTTCTAGAATCAGCTCTTTCTTTGGTGGAGCCGGGTCTGTGACAGCAAGATGAGCCAGGAAGCGCTGGAGCTCAGCCAGGATCGGCAGCTGATCGATCAGCACGTCTGTCAAAAAACTCCTGAGCTGGGAACAGCACAGCAGCAGCATTCAGACATCAGCACACCTCAGGTTGTAGGGATACTCAGGAGAATATCTGTGCTTGCAAAAGGATGCTCAAGGTTGTCTGGTTATGTAATTAGTGCTACAGGAAGAGGATGAGAAGCTCATAATAGGAGGAAGTAGCATTAAAAAATACATCTATGGGGACTGGATCTGTTTTCTACAAGGAAGGAGGTCAGATAACATGTAAAGGACAATAATCTGGAACAGTGGTACTTCCAAAGCATTAGCTTAAGTCAAATAAAATCCTCTTACTCATAAAAACCCTTAAACACATAGAAACACATATAGTTAGTTTATATTTTGTTTTAGTTTTTACCTTTAGAAGTTGGTTCTTGTTGAAATTGTTGAAGTCGTATTTTCTTTGACATTCTTCCTTTAGTATCAAACTGTACAGAGCCAGCCAGACCTGGCCATCAAGTTTAGTCATCTTCAAATGGTCCTCAGGAGGAATCCTCTGCCATTTGCCATTAATGTTCTTTTCTACTTCACCTAGAGGGGGCAATAGAGAGCAGACAGGGCCTTACAAAAGCATTCAAATTCCTAAGGCTCATTTCTCCTCTTTTCCACAGTATTTGATTGGGATAGTTACAATTCATGACATCTTATTGCATTTCGTACCTTATATAGCTCATTATATAGTACCATTACTTCAGTGAAGTTTTTGGACGCTCACTCTGAGAAACTTTATTGAGCAAAGAGCAAACTTGTTCCAAGCAAAACTGCTTCAGGCACAGACAGTTACGGTTTATGTTGAAACTAGTGTTCTGCTTTTCTACATAAGCTTTACTTCCCATCTGTTGAACCTTCAATGACATTTGAAGGTCAAGTTAATAAACAAGTAGATATAGTTACTAGAGGTGGTTTAAGCTTAAATAGATTTGGAAAAATGTTTTCTCTGACTGAATTTTTATGTCGAAATTTAGTTTTATTGATTTTATTTTAGTCTTGAAATATATTAGAAGTGCATATGCATTTTTTTGATCTGTTGAATATTTCATTCTTAAATAGTAAATCAGATGTTTGGATCAGTTACCTGGTACTTAAAGAAGCCTTTTCACTAAATAATTTTTATTGGATGGCAACTTTTTACTTAGACCAGAGTAAAATTAAAATAGTTTTGTCGTACTTGAGAGAAATTTCTGAAAATTTTAGCCACTTCGAGATCCTATTTGATAAACAAACACAAGGTAGCGTATAATAATTATGTGAATAAGTGGAGGGAAAAGATTTTTAGAACTAAAATCTGAGAGGTATAGCCTGTATGTGTATTCAGATCCCCCTTTTACTCTGCTACCTCAAGATAAAACCCAGCGGATCTACAGTACGTGGGATTGAATATCAGGATGGAACGGCTGCTCATCTAAGGCTTTATTGGTCTGTTAAAGAACATTAGTAAAAAAAACAACAATAAAGTTGCAAAATGATTGCAAGATGAATATCTTTATGAAATCTTATAAATACTAACAAAGGGTCATATCCCTATGTTTTAAGTGCAGGTATTAAGATCTACCGTTTACGCTCCGACTCCAGGGGCAGGACTCTATCAGCTGAACCAGCACACATGGCATATTGTGCGTACACAGCACACGATTGATGACACTGATGCTGAGAGGAAAGAGATGACACATTAGTTTGGTTTTTAGCATCCTGCTTGTCATCTATGAAACGTTAAAGGTTTCCATTCAATTTGAAAAACAGAAAATGTAACTTCAAAGCAATCCCTCCATCATGTACCTGTAAGAATGATCTGTGATGTAGCTCAGGACAGATACAGCTTTAAGAGAGATTTCAAACTCCAGTGCCGCATTCTGCGTCTGCAGCTCCTTCATTAAGCAGAAATAAAAGGATGTGACTCATATCCCTGGTTTGAATGATGCTGCAGTGTGGAAGAAATGCAAGAAAGCGAACAGAGGCATCAAAAGTTTACCTCTATAGGGGATAGCTGGTTCTGTCGATCATGAGCCGCAGCACGGCCCTTGGTTGCCTCACTGGCCAGCAGAGTGAGTTTACGATGGCAGTAATCCACCAAGTCAAGAAGAGAATCACCAGCTGCCTCACAGGAATCCTAAACTTTCAGAAACACAATACCTGATAGGTTGACCCGCAAAAGTATTCACACCTATGATATCATAATGCAGATTAAAAAAAGGGCTTTGGTCAAATCAAAGCTTGAGATGTTTAATGAAGAACGAATTCAAATAAAGGTTTTTCTATAAAGAACCAAAACACATGGCATATCGTTCAGCTGTTAATTACAAAAATAGATTAAAAAACAAACAGAGATCCTTTTTCTTCCACTTTCAAATTTATATTTAGTTTAACTGCCACATAAAAGCTTAAAAATACAATTACGGCTGGGAAGATAAAAAAAAAATTATGTAAAAAGTTGAAGGGTATGAACTAATAGGTAATGATAGCACATATCATTACATTTTCCTGATGCTGCAACCAAAAGCAAATTAAAACATTTACAGGCAAACAAAGACTCAGGAGAGACTAGAAATATCGGAGAACCTACTGACCTTATGAAACAACACTGTTTCAAGCAGGTTGATGATTGTAGCCTCATGGTGGATCTAAGAGAGACGAAATGAAAATTCCATTAAATGTCATTACGAGCTGATCAGAGCTGTTGCAGATCTAATTTTCACACGTACCAGCATGTAAAGATGAAAGGTGCACTTAGGATTGAAGTCTTGCAGCTGGCATAGGATGGGGAACACTTTCTGCTTCCACATCTCCACAAGGATCATCTCATGGACCAGAACAGGTATCTGAGAAAAGAGGAATTGATCACTCACCCTGCTGTTAGTTATCACTTTGTAGATATAAGAGCTGGAGGTCACCTTTCCGAAGGACACCAGGAGCTCCTTGACAAACTCATCGTGCATGGCTGAAGCATTCAGTATGGCCTGCATGTTTAGTCTCTCAATATGTTCGTGTTGTCTGAACCACCTGTTAACACAGAAGATTTGTGAGAAAAGGTGAGGGTTTTTAAAAACAGATACAATTTGAGGCCTTTTTTCTATAATCAAACCCATACATAGGGAAAATATACCCACTCTTAACCCCACAATTATAAAATGTTTCCCCAGTCTAGCTGCTCTCTGCCTTTGCTCAGACATCAAGAATTACTTCCAGCTTGGCAGCAGGTGGAATAATTAAGTGAAATAAGTAAATGTGTAATTAAGTGTAATAAGTAATAAGTAAATGAGCCTCAAGAACCTGCTTTTTAACTGTCAATCCTGTATGAAAGGACTGGTAGTACTGTGTTGTTGAAGGTTTCCTCTTTTTTTCAGTTATTGTGAGGAAGCCTTTTATTGCATGATTCATTTGTTATTTGTATGACTTTCTGATAGACTGCTATACCTGTATGTCTGCTCCTGTATTAAACAACATGTTTGTATGAGTATTACACAGTTTGTACTTGCTAAAACAGAAAAAGGCAGGGAAAAATCGTGAATTCAAACATGTTTTCTTAACAAATCTTCCAGATTTGTTCCTTACATTTCCTCACATTTTCATTTTTTCCTTATATAGAAAGGCATCACAAGCATGACACTGCCAGCACAATGTTTTATAGGGGCCAGGGTGTGTTTTTAGTAGATTTTGCAATTTAAGTTTTCTGCCTCACAAATCATTTTAGATCAATCAAATCAATCAATCAAAAGTCTTAGTTTTGGTCTCATTAAACTATTATATCTTTTGCGCTTATTACATGGCTTGTGGTAAACTACATAGAGGCCTTTATAGAACAACTTAATCTAGATCACAAACAGGTTATTCTACCTTTTTATTTAGGGATATCAGATCAAAGGCAGTTTCTTTAACTTTGCCTTATAATTTTTTAAATTCATATCGCAGAAGGGATCTCTTTGTTCTCCCAGAAACGTTACGTTAGCATACATTGGCTCATGCTAACGTTAGTTTATGATCTTACCTCGCAGAACCCACTTCTTTGAGGGAGAAAATATCCAAACTTTGAATAATCCCCTCAGCTTCAACAGGCAGCACCACCGACGTATCCATTTCCACAGTCTTGATTATTTCAAACAATGTCGGGTAAATTAAAACATTTACAGCCGCTCTGGTGAACTTATTTGTTAATGTCCAGCAGCCAGGGTGAGATATACACAGACAGTTGCCAAGGTAACCGTTTTACCTTGTAGTTTTCAGTAGTCGCCACTAAGGGGCGCCAGAGTTTGACGTAAAGTACCAAACAACGGGGAGGTTTTCTAACGTTGATTGACTGTTCCGTTGCTAGGCAACGCCGCCTTGAATTCCATTGTTTGTAGCCAATCACAGCGCCTGAGCTGAGACGAAGGAATAAGAAAGCCGAAATTCAAATCCCTGCTCGCAAAATATGCGATTAATAGGATTAAGTAAGAGTATCAATATATAAACGATATATTCTTATCAGCTCATATAAGCAATGAATCAAATTTAAGTCAATGATTGTGTGAAGACCTCTAAACGTATTGAGGTTTTTAGTGGCCAAAATCTTCTATTTTCTGATACCTGGAAAACAAGATGAATTGTACCTTGAAAGCAAAAAGTATATAAACAGTTCTGACATTTTAAATTTTAATTTAGTTCAGTGATTTTGTAGAAAGCATTTACTTACAAGTCTTCAGTAAAATATTTGTTATCTGTTTATGTAAATGTTGAATTGAAACCTGAAATAACTGTAAAGTAATAAAAAAAAAATGTAGGTTATAGCTTGTTCTCTCAAAATCCTAAAAAGACAGATCCTGTACAGTGTCATTACAAAAACAAAACAAAAAATATTTAAAGGTGAGATTTTAAATACTTATGAGAGGATTTTATGTGTTGCTATATTTTGTGTTGCTGCAAAGGTTAATGTTTCTTACTATTTACAGTAAATACAGGCAATGTAAGCAGGATATACAACAGTGATGACTGTATTTGGTCTATTTATACAGTTAGCGTAAAACAAAAAAGAAACAACACAATAAATCAAAGCATGAACAGTTTGAACATAATTTTAATTTATATTCTAGTTATCAACTGGACAGTCATTCCCTTGAATTAGAAATGAACACATAAATAATACTATAAAAAAAGCAAAGGTCATTACAAAATACAGTTTGAGCTTTACTTCTTTTCATTCTTGGCAGCTTTGGTTGAGGCTTCATGGAAGATGGCTTCATTTAAGGTCACTTCCAGCAGATCACTATGTTAGGGTCGTTTTCCAAACGTTCATCCAGCTCCTGGTAAGTAATTCCTGTAAAATCAGCACAATTGAGGCAAACCCGTTTTACTCCAGCAAAGTTTGAGCTAAGATTGGCTGCTCAACGTCACATTTCTTAACAATTTATCACAAAAACACAAACCCGCATTTGTTTTTTATGCTGAAGTGCTAATGAAAACTTTAGAGTTGATTAGAACCGTTGCCTACTTTACTCCAAGTCACTTCAAAACACTTAACTACTCTGAGTTTAAGGCAACAAACTGATGATGGGTCATTTTTTCGTTTAAAATTTGCTGCTTTAGAATGGAAAACAGGGTTAGTTTTACGCCAGATGTAATAGACGCACAACTTAAAAAGGCCCTGCTATTGTCTTTAAGTCTGCATTTCATTTTTACAAACGGTTTAGCAGTCATAAAGATTTTTTTAGGGCAGATTTAAAATGAAAAAATATTTTATTCAGATTGGCTTCAATACTTTGGACTTCTCCCCGATTAACATATTTTGGTTATCCTGTAGGTAAGTCAAGAGTTGCTCTCTTGGAGTAACTTTGGTTGATAAACTACCTCTGAGAGGATTTAGATATAAAGGCTACCAAAACTTTCCAAATCTTATGAGACTGATAGATTTAAATGACTACATTTATTTAATAGGTTGATTTTAGTGACTATATGATTTAAGAAGGGGACACAAAGGAGCTAGGTTTGAATGAAGCGCTTTTTTTCTCTCAATAAATAAAATGCTGAATGCTAGATACACTATATTGCCAAAAGTATTTGCTCACCCATCCAAATTATTGGAATCAGGTGTTCCAATCACTTCCATGGCCACAGGTGTATAAATTCAAGCACCTAGGCATGCAGACTGTTTTTACAAACATTTGTGAAAGAATGGGTCGCTCTCAGGAGCTCAGTGAATTCCAGCGTGGAACTGTGATAGGATGCCACCTGTGCAACAAATCCAGTCGTGAAATTTCCTCGCTCCTAAATATTCCACAGTCAACTGTCAGCTGTATTATAAGAAAATGGAAGTGTTTGGGAACGACAGCAACTCAGCCACGAAGTGGTAGGCCACGTAAACTGACGGAGCGGGGTCAGCGGATGCTGACGCGCATAGTGCGAAGAGGTCGCCAACTTTCTGCAGAGTCAATCACTACAGACCTCCAAACTTCATGTGGCCTTCAGATTAGCTCAAGAACAGTGCGCAGAGAGCTTCATGGAATGGGTTTCCATGGTCGAGCAGCTGCATCCAAGCCATACATCACCAAGTGCAATGCAAAGCGTCGGATGCGGTGGTGTAAAGCACGCCGCCACTGGACTCTAGAGCAGTGGAGACGCGTTCTCTGGAGTGACGAATCGCGCTTCTCCATCTGGCAATCTGATGGACGGGTCTGGGTTTGGCGGTTGCCAGGAGAACGGTACTTGTCTGACTGCATTGTGCCAAGTGTAAAGTTTGGTGGAGGGGGGATTATGGTGTGGGGTTGTTTTTCAGGAGCTGGGCTTGGCCCCTTAGTTCCAGTGAAAGGAACTCTGAATGCTTCAGCATACCAAGACATTTTGGACAATTCCATGCTCCCAACTTTGTGGGAACAGTTTGGAGCTGGCCCCTTCCTCTTCCAACATGACTGTGCACCAGTGCACAAAGCAAGGTCCATAAAGACATGGATGACAGAGTCTGGTGTGGATGAACTTGACTGGCCTGCACAGAGTCCTGACCTCAACCCGATAGAACACCTTTGGGATGAATTAGAGCGGAGACTGAGAGCCAGGCCTTCTCGTCCAACATCAGTGTGCGACCTCACAAATGCGCTTCTGGAAGAATGGTCAAAAATTCCCATAAACACACTCCTAAACCTTGTGGACAGCCTTCCCAGAAGAGTTGAAGCTGTTCTAGCTGCAAAGGGTGGACCGACGTCATATTGAACCCTATGGATTAGGAACGGGATGTCACTTAAGCTCATATGTGAGTCAAGGCAGGTGAGCAAATACTTTTGGCAATATAGTGTATTAAAGGTAGTCAGAAGAATTATGAGTACCCGCTCCCTGTTTTATTTAACCCCCTCTGTTGGGTTTCAACAGACCAACACACTTTGGATTACTGTTCGATCTTTAATTAACTTCGATTATATTTCTAGGTTCTTTCCTAACTCTGATGCGCCGTTGATGAACCATGTGCCTATTGGTCATGGAAATATGTAGTCAGTCATATAGTTCTATAAATAGTGTGCTGAAATTTTGCAAGGATTTATTTTTTAAAACAAGGAAGTGTGTAAATGTTCCATGAGACTGAGAAAGAACCAAAAATTGAGTATAGGATGAGTTATTAGGATGATGCTAATGATGACTGATCTGTGCATTTTGAAATAACAAACCCAAAATGCTGCTTATAGAGAGCTTCTGAACGTGCCTGTTTTGCAGCAGATCTCATCGTAACTATGACAACCGGTGTAGAGGCGAGGCAGCCTGCTTCTCTCGTCCCGGACCACCTTCACAGGATACTTCTGAAGCTGTCGAATAAGAGACTTCATCAGCCCGAACTGGATTAGCCTCCTGAGTTTAAAACACAAAGCGAATCAGCAGCCAACTCAACATGTTTTGAGAGCTACTCTGACCGGACATTTCCAGAGAAATTAAGTCATTTCAGGAAGTGAAACGGTGAGCTACGCTGACCTCTCATCGACTCTTTGAAGCTGCTGCGAGTAGCGGGAGCAAAGGTCTCGCACCGTAGTTCCAGGACTGAGACCACAGTAGAGCTGGAACACATCTCTGAGGCTGGCCCGTTTCTGACCTGATGATGAGGCCAAAAATCAATCAACATCTGGAAATGAATCCATTCATTTAATTTAGTAGCTCTCTTCTCCCTTACCGTGCTTGGAGACGTAGCTGAGGCATTCGTCCTGAATGGACTTGTCATCAATGAGGCTCTGAACCTTCGGCGTTGTGCAGTAGACATTGGAGTACTAGAAGAAATAAATAACAGCCAGTGGAGATGACTATAGGTTTCCTAAAAAGATGTTAGCTTTTTTTTTTTTTTACCCCATTTTTCTAATAATTAAGTTTTCCTTTAAATGCTTGGAAAGTGATAACACTTTATGTATACAAAAACATGTTAAATTGTTTCTCAATTTCGCCAAACAAACAACACTACAAACAACAACCCTTTAAATGAATCGAGCAGCGTAGATTTATAGCTATTCCATGATGTTGCTAATGCCTCAGCAAAAGCTTTATCACCTCCACCTGTGGCTCTAAAAACGTTTGGATAATGAGGAGGCGATAGAAATTAAATTGGATTAAACCATTTAAAGCACTAAAGGTCAGTAATACAATATTAAAACAATATTTTAAAAAACGTAGCTTTTAAAAAAAGGACAGATTTAATAAAAAAAAAACCTAATCTGTTAATTAAATTAAAGAGAGCTGCACAGGATTATGCTCCGATTGCATCACACAGAAGTGACATCTGAGAAGTTGGGGAACTAGAAGCACTGAACTAAACCAAAGGTCAACCTGAATTTTGTCAGCATTAGAAAAAAACAAAACAGAAAATGTCCTCCATAAAGATAGAAAGCTTAAGAGACTGTTGGCTTCCTCTTTCCTTTTTATTCAATGTATCAGCTTTTAAATGAAAATTAATAACATCAGAGTTCTTCCAGCCAACGGCTCTAAAATTGGAGGAAACTGTTAGAAATGCTAATTAAACTTAATTCTCCAAAATAATTCCACTTTTTCAATAAAAGGTTAAAAATGATGTTATGATGTGGTGCAGATGTTCCTATATGACCCAGGATGATCAGGATCCTGGCTGCGGCTGGTAGATTTCTGAACACTAATCCCTGAAAGGCTTTGGTTCTGAAACGATGTGGAGGCGAAACAAACTTTCAGAATGAACCGATTATGGATATAAATAATGCAAAGCTTGATAAAGCTTTCCACAAACTTACATTTGTATCTTTTAGAAAATAAAAAAACAACAACAGAGAATTAGAATCTTGAAAACATAGTTTTTCCTCATGTATTTAGAGGCTAATATCCTAGATTTTAAGGCTTGGGTTTATTTCAGGAACATTTTTAGGTTTGTCAATGTGCTGTGAAATCAGTTCCCTACCTGAAATATCGACACCAAGGTCACCACACCATAATACCTGGAAGAAAAAAGTTGATACAAGTCTATCAGTTTTAATTGTTTGTCCTGGGATTATGAAATTTATTCAAAAGCAGCTATATGTTCAAAGAAATTCAACTGTATTCAAAATATGCTATGCTAACTCCTAAGAAGTGCAGTAGCATTGCTGATAAATGTGGACTGTGGGCTTAATAGTGTAAGGTAAGAGGGGCCGTGTTAGAGGAAAGTACTCACAGCAGGTTCTGCACCGCAATACGAACAAGATTCAGCTCAACGTCTGCTTCAGCAGATATTTTCTGAATGTGCCTGAATCCATCGATGTGAGGCAATATCTAAAAGAAACCAGAGGATGAACATAATCATCTGAAGCTCTGTGGCCTCATTTGTTTAAAGAGTCGAGAACTTTATCACGATTTGTGCGAGGACATGGTTTTTATTACTATACAATAACACAGTAAAATCAGTAAAGAGAACCATAAGAGAAGCTCGTTTCCAGGTATGAAAAGGTAAATGAGAAACGCCTCACTTCACCTTTTCCGACAAGATAACAAGCATTACGCGCTAATCTTTTTACCGCTGCTTCTAGGAAAACTAGGATATGTCTTATCATAACATCTGTTGATATTTGCAACCACGCAGTGCTCATCCTGCCTGTTGAGTGGTGAGGTCCCACTGAGATTTAATAAAAAGCTCTTTGCATTCAGTGAAGACAGGCACGTCATATTCCTGGACAGTGGGGGGGTCCCTTCGCTGCTGGATGAGCTTCAACTGGATGGTGTTGGAGTCGTCTGTGGGGAGAAAAGACAAAGCAAAATTAACACGTACAAAATAAAAAATAACCCTTACCAACCAGCAAGAACCCCCAAAACCCCCAAAACAAACATGTTATATTCCACTATCCGTACTTGCTATTGATTTCAATTCATTTGTTTGGTTAAAGCAAGACCCTTTCCCTAAGCCAACAAATTACCAACACATATCTAATCCTAAATTCAGCTCACATCTTAATCCTAAATCTAACCTAAGAAGTAGACTGTTCCCCACACGATACTGTAAGTCCCCACAAAGTAGCATAGTCCTGGGAAACTGGCCCCACAAGAAAACAAATACTGTACTTCAACACACACACCTCCCAGTTATGGGATTTTTCCAAATAATGCTGTTAAGAGACACAAACACAGTTTTCTGAAAAAGTCTGGTAGGCTGAAAGCATTTATTAAACATAAAGTAGAAGAGAAAATCAGGTATGATTTATATTTTTTCCGCCCCAATCAGATCAAAGAAGTGTGCATTAAGAGATTTTTGCACTCTTTACTCCGATATTGTTTAAGCTTTGGCATAAAAAAAAGAAAAAAAAAAAAAGGAAAATCCTCAAAGAGCGGAGGAAAGCTGTGCTGTGCATCTTACTGCAGACGATAGTGAAGCTTCAACTCAAAATGACCCAATGTTTAATAAATGCTTTTGTTTTGATAACAAATACAGGGTAACTCTTAAGAAAGCAAAATGGTTACTGTAAAACGTGTGAACATTTGGCAAAGGTCCATCTTCCAGCATATTAAAAAAACAACAAACACAACCAGGGCAAAAATAAAACAGGTTGTATCAGAGCATATATATGAGTTTGGATTGGGGCCAGTCAAAGGACTGAACTGAATATAGTAGGATTGTTAGCGTCAAAGATCAACTATTATTACTTAACATATTCTTATAATCTGTTTCTCTCTTTTTTTATTTGCGTAAACAAAAATAATCTGTCTCAACAACTTTAAGCTATCTTATTTACCTGCATATTTCTTGTGTATATTGGTTTTCTTACAATTTAGATCTGGCATTAATTTCTCATTATTTCTTGTGTTCATCGGCATGTTTCTGCTTCCCCCTGAAGAACAACTAAGGATGTTTCCGTTTTATCTATTCTACATTCGAACTTTGCATTTTGTTGGTCCTCCACATAAAATCCCAATAAAAAAAGTACAGTTTAAGATGGTAAAGCGAAAAAAAAATGTGGAAAAGTTTAAGGGATATAAACACTTTTGGAAGAAAACGTTATGATATGTTTAGGAAGAAATGCTTATTTAAAATGTAAAACCACATAAGACGCCAGTATGTAGCCTTGAAGCTGTGAATCATTGCTCCATACATAAGAGTTTTAGTAGTAGTAATGATTATAATCATTATAAAGACTTTATAGGCAGGTTATAAAACCACCAATTCCAAGCTGTCATTACCTGGAGTGACTGCTGGGGGAAAAGTACACCCTTTTACTCATATGTTTTATTGTATCAGCACATAATAAAACTTATTAGACCTTATCTGGTTTCTAAAACAAAACAAATACACGACACATTACACCTTATCATTGCTGAACTAAAAGTATATTTGCTGAGGCCCATTTCCTGAAGTTTTCTCCAATGACTTTACATTCTGAATCAAACAGTATCTTGGGGGTTTTATCGTACAACGATGGAGCTATAAAAAAAAAACATAATACATTAACACAGCTCAGCCTAAGGCTGGGTAATATAGTATATTAAAAAAAACTCTAATTTCTTCATAACAAATTTGATGAATTGATTTTTACCCCCCAGGTTTAATAATAGACAATGACGGGAAATACTTTTAAAAAACTAGCTTTAATTTCTCTTCTGAGAGTTGATCTAAACTCAAAGTGCAGCTAAAGTCAAGCTTTGAAACATGCGTATAAAACAAGTTGGCAGGACCTGCAATTGTAAACAACGAAAACATGATATGCAAGATGTTTGCCATGAGTGGTATGGCGCAATGAGCTATTTCATCAGTTTTGACCAGAAATTTAAAACAAAAAAAGTGTCTAACTTTTGTCACTACGAACTACGGAAGCTCAAGGAGTAAACTAGAGTAAAAGAAATCCTGATTTTCCAAAAATTCAACTTCATAGAAAGCTAGTTTGCCAATCAATAAAACTGCTTTACTATAGCTCAGCCTTTAGGCACTGACAACCGTCTTAATGTGTACTATAAATATTTCCAGCCTGTTTCATTATAAAATAAATGTTGGTTGAAAATCCTTTCAAGTCATCAGGAATAAGCCTCAGACAGAATATTCCTGTTTTGGGCGGCATAACGGATTCCTTCTGCTAAGATGTCTCCGAGTAAAGTAACAATAAAATGTTTTTTTTTTATTGATTTTTCTGCACAATTTAAAAAACCAAAACCTGTTTCTTTGTTTACTGTGTAAGACATAAAACAAACAGTAAAACACAAAGTAATACCTATGGGTAACGTGCAGGCTCCTGTGGCATTAAGATCCTCTAACAACGTTGACATAATGGGTAAAAGTTTTTGCTTGCTCTCCTCCTTTGATATAAAGCCACTCTCCAACTGCAACAAAGCAGGGGGCAAGAAAACTATAACAACTTCGAGTCATTTCACTATGAAAGTATGAAGGGCAAAAGATGATTACAGTTCTAACTGCTGGAGCAAATAAATGTATTACTCCTCACCTCCAGAGTCGTGAGGTACCCAGCCAGCTTCTTGACAATGGGCTCTAGAGCACAGGTATTGGTCTGAGCATCACAGACGAAGCCGAGGTTAAAGAGGAGAGCGTTTCGGCTGTACTTTTTATGCTCGATGCATACAGGACAGCCAATTAACTTCTTCTCCATGGCAGTTCTACAAAAACATCAATTGTTCCATTGGAAAAGGAAACAAACCAAAACATTTAGAGAGTAAAAGAAAACGATTTCAGTGAGACAGTGTCTGATGACCTACACTGTTATTAATTTGTTTTGCAGCTCAGGCTTGGTGATGATGTAAACTTGAACTGTATCAAACAGCTCCCGTGAAATGTACTCCTCTGGGACCTGTCGGGACAGAACAGACGAATTAATGTACGGCACAATAGTTCAGTGTTAAATCTCTTCACATTTTAAAACAGTATAAAACTCACACAGGATGGGACAAAATTCATATCAAGGTCTACAGGAATGATTCACTTTGATCCTCATTCCCTTTCATCAAATTTTCAGTCATGTACTTTTGTAAAAATGTACACTGTGCAGGAAATTGGAAATTATTATTATTTTTTTGTTATTGCATGGGAAAAAATGACTCCTGCTTTGAGCATCTTTAGGTATATTACATCACAAGGAGCAGAAAAAAAGGAGATAATTAGCTGACATCTTTAAAAAATAAAAGAAGGTTCTGTCATCAGTTGCAAGGGTATCAACCTTACATGATTTGGCTAGAGTTAAAGTCTAATCACAATAGCTGATGATAAAAATTATCATTTTCAAATTTGAAACATTCCTGTTTCCTGTTTGGCTTTTGTTCCCCCTCAGATCAGTGCTGGGCATAAGCATCAGGATAAATAGGGAACAGAAAAATGGTTTCAGTGCATTATTTCTGCTAGTGACGGCCTAATGGTTAGGGCATAGAGCTTTGAATCCTGAGGTTCTCAGTTTCCGTCTCACTCCGGCTCTCTGAGCAAGACCCTTAACCCCCGATTGCTCCCCGGCCGCCCCAAAATGGCAGCCCACTGCTCCTCAAGGGGATGGGTTAAATGCAGAGGTAAATTTCTCCAATGTGAGATCAATAAAGTTAAATTATTATTATTAATACAGATATGATGATACTTTAATGTCTTTTATTATTACACAATAAGTCACATTTTCTGAAATCTTTACACTGATCTCACATACAACTCATAAAGCCACATAAAACATAAATGATCAACTGTTCATGAAGTTATTCGACTAAAAACGTTTATTTAAGAAGGTAAAACAAAAAACTGGGGACAGTCATCTTATAGTTTGTTATCCCATTAAATGCATTTTTAGTGGAAGCTTAATTGTGGATGGTGAGGAATTGCAATAAAGAGCACATAAAACAGAAAAACTGGTGTTTTGCATTTATCCTAGAGGAAGCCAGAGCGGCAGCCTTTCCTCCTTTTTTTAGATTCAAACTTTGTTTAATAATAAAATGACTGAATCTCCTCATCTGCATGTTATTCAGCTGTAAACAGGCCTGGTAACGAATCACTTATTTGATTCAGGTGTGTTGGAGAAATTATGCATTTTAAAGTTGTGGGATCTTAGCGCTTCATGTCTGTCACCTCTGGGCAAGTAGCTTTAACAGCATTGCTGGCTTACCTGGTATGTTATTTTTGGCCCAAGAGTGGGATGAAACTCACTGAAGAATATGCACTCTATTCGAGTGGCCATGACGAAAGTTGTTTTTGCTCCTTTCTAGATAAATTAAAATCATTACTAGATCCTCCCCCCCACCCCCCGTTTGTTATGCTAGCTAGCTATCGCTTAAAAAGAGCAAATCGGGATGTCTACAAATGATTACAAAAGTTCAAATGTTTTTACGATGTTTAAATATAAAAATACTATTCGAGAGGGTTTAATAGAATGTGTCATTGAAGAACGCTGCAGATTTTGAGGCACATCGTCCAAACTGACCAGCTCGAGTTGCAACAATACTGATGCGTTCACATACCATCACGGAATTTACTGATACACACGCTCTAACCTAGGAAATGAGAGCACGTGAGCTCTAAACATTTGTGACATTACAACTACACATTTTGTGCGTTGAATATTATACTATTTATTATTCAAACGTTTTTATATATTTTTACCACAGGTCAGTCACGCGGTAGGGTTAAAACGTCACAAATAAGATACGTAATTCTAAGTTAACGAGGGATTTTTTCATAAAATTACACCTAAAAGTCGTAATATATGAGTCTGGATACAATTTGAAATGTCTGCCCGCTATTTGACACCTAAATATAACAAAGCAATTCATTAAAGGACCGATTTACCACATTCCTTAAAGGAGACACTGTTCTAAGGAGGCAGAGCGCATGCGCAGGATGCGTAGCTAGTAGAAGCGTGTTGCGTCATAGAGACGCAGATGTTCGACGTCATACGTAGGAACAGTAGCGCGTCCTGTCCACATGTAAATATTTCATTTAATGTTGCGAATAGAGTTTAAAACATCCCCTTTAGAGTTAAAATTGGTACATGAAATATCGCTTTAAGGGAGGAAGCTATAAAATATTGACTCGTAGGGGTTTCTCTGTATCAACGGTCTATAGACGGTCTATTTAGGCATGTGGTGGAGAAGAACCCTCAGCAGAAGCTGCAGATGGTGTTTGGGATGCAGGCACAGTGGGGCAAAGGTAATGATGAGTTGTTTGCTGTATAAACTGCTCAGCAGAACATACTGAGAAAGCAGTGGAACCCAAATAAGAAGTCGTGTCAGCATTGTTGACAGTCGGTCTGAATGAGTCTAAAATAAGACGCAAAACAAATACGTACTTTTTATAGATTCAGCAGCTAAGCAACTCAGGCAGAAAATTATATAAACAATCAACTTTTTTTTAAATTATTATTATTAACCTTTGTTAATGTGCAGTTCGTGCCTTTCTTAGTTTAAAAAGACCAATTTTTTGCAGAAAAAGAACATTCCCAGCAGTAGTAAGCAATAACCATATAATAACTTACATTAGACAGCTCTTAAAAGTCCGAATAGTTGGACATGGGATATAATTTATATCTGTTGTAACAATAATGGAGAATTAGAGTAGAATAAGGTAAAGATAAAGGAATTAAAGAAAAAACATTTCAAAAATATTAGAAAACAATCATTTCTTATGAGGGATAAATAAGGTACCTCCACATTAATAATAATCCCACCTAAAATGGCTACAATAACACACACCCACACACACACACACACACACATATATATATATATATATATATACACATACATATATAGTAACAATGTTTTAATGACTTAAACTTGACGTTATATATGTATAAAATATCAAAATATATGTTTAATAATAAATCAAATTAAGCTATTTTTGTTATATACAGTCATCAGATTATAAGCACTTTCAGATTAAGCAGAACAGCTCTTCAGTTAACAAAACAATATTCTGTTGCGCACCTGAGCATCGCCCTAAACAAACAATGTCTTCCATGAAATATTGCTGCAGTAATGTGGGATTGCTTTTTACCAAGAGCAGTGAAGCTGGGAAGTTGGTAGGACTATTAATGGAGTGAAGTACAGGTGACTTCAGGAAGAACATTGTTATATCATGGGGTGAGCGGGTCAGAAATGCAGCCAAAGCTACAGAAGGTTTCAGATATAAGCCTGTTTAATTGTTTTAAAGAATCAGTTGAAGTAAAGACATAAACTAAAGCAAGAATCCGTCAGGAGTTAAAATAGATTTTTTTTTTCTGTAAATAAATTCACATGTATTCACATGCTGTCATATGTGGACATATATACTGTATATCTCTCCTGCAGATTTTTCTTCGTCTTGCACCTTCTTCTCCTCCTTTGACTATTTGAGCTGATGTAACAAGTACATTTCTCCACTGTGAGATCAATAAAGACAATCAATCAATTCTGTTTGTCTAACACATAAAATTCCACTAACAAACGTTGTTGTGTCACGAAAAAGGAGGTCAAATTTAGGGCGCATGAATAATTTTCTGACACTCTGTAACTTGATTTTTGAATTTTTACTTAAAGAAAGAACAACAGAAGTGAAAAAAGGCAATAAACTGAAGGTATCCCCTTCTGATAAATAGTCAGATGACTCTTTGGTCATCAGTTGCATCAGAGATTGATAAAAAGCTGAGTACAGAGAACTTTGTTGCATGGTGTGGAAACAATCATTTCATCTTTTATGTGAACATAACAAGTTGATGATTGCGGGTTTCATGAGAAGCGTTAACAGGTCAAACGGGGATGTGAAGATTTTTAAGGTCAACTATCTCATTTTTTTATCTGAGGAGACTGGGGACCCAAAGAGGAAAGAGTTGATACAAAAAGGAGCAGCATGTTCTTTCTAATCAAGCTTAGGTCCTTCAGTGTTTTCAGCAAGATGCTACATCTATCTATCATCTGTTTGGGTCACAACATCTGAGCTAATATAGAGCACTACAGATCATTGTGCAAAGAAAGATTCTGCATAAAATAAACATTCATAAATAAACAGTCAACAAACAGTCATTTCTAAAGATATTCTTTATTAGCCTGTCATATAACAACAGTGACTTCAGTTGGGCTTATTTAGAACCACAGTAGCACTGACTGCTACAGAAGTCCTCATCTTCTCTGACAACTCTTTGAAAAAAAACCTGTATGAGTTATCACATTATTAAATGTCCCTTTGGGATTATTAAAGTATATTTGTACGTTATTTGGTTTTAAATTCAGAACATGGCAAAAATACATTTTCAGCTTCATCTAAATCAAAAAAATAAATAACTTCTGACCATGTTTAAGTCATTTTATTTTATTTTCTCCAGCTTGCTGTTAAAATCTTAACATATTTTCCTAAAGCTAATTCTTTTAAAATTTTATGCATATACAACAAAAATGTTCATAAATTAAGAAGATGGAAAATGTTGTTAGATGTTTTGCAGACATTTATTATCAAAACCTGTTTTAGAGGATTTGGAGCTTCCATGACCGAGCCTTACGCAGCGCTCCGGCCGTACCCGCAGGCCGGATCACAGCACTTCAGGCTTTGGACATCTGGAAGAGGCACTTTGAAGAGGAAGGTGTAACAGAAGCCGAACAGTCAAGCCAGTATATCATCGCTCATTTGCTTGGAGCAAAAACAGTGCGTCACAGACCGCAGAAGTCATTCTTTTATCTCATATTCAATCTTTGCAAAAAGCTGTCTTCGAACCGATTCGCTCTTTTCCTGATCTATATCCAGATAGAAAGTGTCGAGCGGCAGAGGTTAACAGAGTTCCTTAGCAAAGAGAAAATGGAAGAGGTGTGGCAGCTCTGCAGCAGACGTCTGTCTAGGTGAGTATGTCTGTGTCTTAAAATCATATTTAATAGTTGTGTTTTTTTTTGTAGAAACCATTATACACTTATGTGCAGAATGCCGGTGCAGTATATCATTGAGGAGTGGGACTTCAGAGACCTAACGCTGAAGATGAGGCCTCCTGTTTTTATTCCTAGGCCTGAAACTGAGGTAATATTACTGATATGTGTATCATCAATATAGCTATGGAAATTCTAGCTATGTTTCCTTATAACACAACCAAACTGTAGCATTTAAAAAAAAGAAACAAATGTGGGGAATAATTGCCTTGTGAGATATTTTAAAGCAAAACGTATCATTTGGGGGGGAAAAAAGAAGTCTCATATTCACACATGAATTTCTATTGATGTGATAGAAGTTCAAGCACTGCCCAATTCCTGAAAATGAAGTCAGCTTCATGTCGTCTGTTCTTCCTTTGGAACAGGAGCTGGTTGAACTAGTGCTCACCGATCTAAAGAGCCGTTCTGCAGACACAGAGACACGGCAAACATGCTTGGAGGTTGGTTGCGGTTCTGGTGCCATTTCTCTCAGTCTGCTGAAGAGTCTGCCTCAGGTGAGCTTTGTGGTTACAATAAGAAATGTCTTTTGTTCCTCACGTTCCCTCCCATCGTGCATCGGATTGCATGTCATTCCTAGAGGCTGCTCGCTGCACACCGAAGAAAATAAAAAGTTATCTAGGGACTTTTTTTTTCAGGAAACATAGGAACAGAAATTATGAATCATTAGGAAATCCCTCTTATAGAGAGAAAGGCTGTTTGTTTCTGGGTTTTCATACTGCTTTCTCTCAGGTGCAGCAGTGGAAACATTTCCATCGGTCTACATGGCCTAAATAAAGCAAGTCAAAGGCCAGAGATTTACATATTTCTAGCAATGTCAAGGACATTTCCCTGATTTTCATTTGTCGTCTCAGTGTGACTTTATAATGTAGCTGGCATGCATGGAAAGTTTCCTTGAACACTGTCCTGGCATATTAAATGTTCTATCAGTAAACTGGCACTTGTAACTAAATATTCAGATCACAGCTCGGGGTTAAAAGTGCAACATTTGGTGCTGCCTCTCCTGCATGTTACCACTGAATCAAAAACATGTTCTACCTCTATGGTTTATGTGCTTAGGTGCATTTACAACAACCTTATTTAAAAACAGGAACTAAATACAGATCTATTAAATAATTAAGACCCTGATAGGCTGTTTTGGTAACACTACAAAAAAAGTGCATATTTGACAAAAAAAACTGAAGTGAAGAATTAGAGGAGTTCCTGTAAAAAGAAATGTAATATGTTAAAAAGATAATCTGTGAGGTATGTAGCTGTACTATACAATGTGGTAATGTATTTAAAGCAGACCTCTTAGAAATTCTACAGGAAAATGTTCATATTTAGAGCAGTCCTGTCTAATAAAACAAACAGGAAAGATAATTATTGCATAAAATATTTATAAAGCAGGAACAGCAAGTTTTTTTTTGTTTTACTAGAAAGAGAACAACAACAATCATAGACTGTTTTCATTGCTGCAGCCACACCAACATAGAGCTCTGATCAGCTGTTTTCCTTTGTTCTCAGTCATGTACAGGGTAACAAGCACTGCTAACTCTGAAGCTCGATTATAGAAAAAAAAAAACAGCTGTATAAACTTCAAGGCCAGATTATTCTAGCCTTATCATAAAATACTAATATACCACTGTATAAAAAGGCTTCCATAAGCAACAATAGAGTTTAATCATCATAACCAGAGAAAATAATCATTTTTAATGTTTTTACTTTAGTATAGTATCTAGACCAGGCATCCCCAAAGTCGGTCCTCGAGGGCCGCTGTCCTGCAAAAGCCTGTTAATCAATTATCAATGTAAATCAGCTGTGCTGGAGCAGAGAAACCTCTAAAACCTGCAGGACGGTGGCCCTCGAGGACTGACTTTGGGGATGCCTGATCTAGACTAACACAGACACATGTGACTGTTATTGCAGCTAGCTCCTGTTAATGTAAGCTTATTCCTACCACATTAATTCTATACAAACACCCAGTGCTAATTATAAAGACACGTTGGATTAGTTTGTTGACCTAAACACATTCAATCTACCCATTTGTAAGTGGAAGAGTGATAAATGAGTTCAGCAGTGCTGAGACTCTCGAAGGACAGGTTAGGATGCCGGATTATTCTTCCTCACATTCCACCTCCTTGTTAAAACCTGTCGGATTAGTTGGGTGTGTTTTTGTGGTGCAAAGGTAAAAGCTCATGTCTGCTTTTCCCTTGAGCTGTGACTGCACACAGTATAATAGCTCACATCTCTCCTGCTCCCTTTTCTCTGATTTGTTCAGCTTTTAACAAACTAACCCCAGCTTCTGCACTTTTCAGGGACTTTCATGAGTAAATCAAATGTCTTATTTCATCAGGTGTATCCATAAGTTCTACAATGATGGAAAATATAGATGCATGTTTGTAGAATGAAAAAAAATCTGTGTATCTCTTTATATTATATGGAGGGGAAAAAGACGTTTTTCTTTTGTATTTTGTAAAAGAAATTGGGTTCTTGGAGAGTAGTATAGAGAAAGGGGCTTATGAGGAACCCTTCCTGGAAACAGAATGTTTTTTAACACTGTGTTTTTTTCTCCTTCACTAGCTCGAAGCCTTTGCTTTGGATCGAAGCCAGGATGCGGTTGATTTAAGCCGAGAGAATGCGTTGAGGTAATTTCGCCATAGCACACAGAAAGCATACTGTGACTCTCCAAGTGCTCTGAGTTTACTCTTTCTATGTTTTTTTTTTGTTTTGTTTTATTCTTATGTTATAAGCATCATTTGCTCAGAATAGTTTCTTGTTTAGGTTGGGACTTCAAGACAGACTGAGGGTCTATCATATGGATGTAATAAAAGGTAAAAAAAATAAAAAACTGCAGTTTTTTTCTATATAACCTCAGTTATAAGTTTTGCTTTGTTTTTTTCCAAGACGCAGAAAGGATCCTTGGTCTGTTTAGCTCCGTTTCAGCTTTGGTCAGTAACCCACCGTACCTGTTTTCAGAGGATATGGCATCGCTGGAGCCGGAAATCTTTAGGTGATGAAAAACCTGCAAATAATTAATTACAAGCAGGAGTTTATGATTGCCAGGGGAGTGGCGGCCTAGTGGTTAGGGCATAGAGCTTGGAATCTAGTGTTTCTGATTACAAGCCCCGATTTCTCCATTGATGTGAGATCAATGAAGTTAAATTATTTTTAGCATTGGTGGATCAGTGGTAGAATTCTCGCTCCTCGATTCTTGGCCAGTGCAGCATAGAGGTTGCATCTTAATGGGCGGGACAGCATAGTGGTTAAGGCATAGAGCTTGGAATCCTGAGGTTCTGATTTCGTGCCCCACTCCCACAGACTGCCACTCTGTCTCTCTGAGCACGACCCTTAACCCCACACTGCTCCCCGAGCACCTCACAATGGCAGCCTCAAGGAGATGGGTTAAATGCAGAGAGTTCTTTTCGTTGCTCTGTATTTGTGACAGTGTAATAACAGTAAATACAATTAAAAAACGCTGGAGTCTGCAAATGTTTAATTCAAGCTCCCTACAGGTTCAATCTACTTTTAGGAAGCTTTCACTGTTTATGTCTTAGAAAAGACATAACTGCTATCTGAATTCATGCAGACTTATAAGAACCAGTACAGTTGAGTTCAAATGGAGCGCGGAGCCTGAATAACCAACTAATTACTTTATAAATAGCATTTTATGGAGTGCATTTATATGCTAGTGAAGATGTCAACACATCAGATTTATTCCTACAACTGTTTTTTTTAACTAGGAGCCAAAACCATGCTGACTGCAACTGTTGAGAGGGCAGTTTTATTCTTTATAATTTATTAGCAGATTACCTTCTAGCGTGAAAAACAAACTCTCAAAAAGGATGAAATTAGCCTTTTTATTTTCACTGTCTGGATGAGTTTGTGAAATATAAAATTACTAAAAAATATTTGAGTTGGCAGACATATTTTTAGAAGATAAAGACAATGTGCATTTCTAAAAACAAAGTAGATGTTAGATTGATAGAATTTTAGTTTGAACTTTGATTTGCCACATTGGACCTTAAGTTGAAGAATGCATCTTATCAGTGTTTTGAGTTTCCAATTCACCATGTGCAAATACAAACAGCCATTTTACAGCATTTTGAAGTGCTTGACAGTTATAACGGTTTTAATTTGGGCCTTAATTTAATAACTTGTCCTTGATCTAATGTCAAACTGCAAATAATTGAAACCGAGCTGCTTTCTTTTTTCTTTTTAGCTTTTTACAAACCTGATGAAAAAAACTGGATCATAACATCTGACTTGAGAGACCAACTATTTTACATCTTGAATTGTTTGCAGGGTTGCGGAGACCTTTTTTTTTTAGAAATCTTTTTTTTTTCCCCTTACCATTCTTTATAAAGGCTAGGTTTGCAGAGAGCATAGCTTCTAAAGGCTGCGCTGGATTTTATCAAGGGTTGCAAAAGCACAGCACTGTTAGGATCGTTCTCGTATTTGTACCACTTTGCAGTACGCACCGTTTTTAGTTGGTTTACACAATAAAATCCAGATGAAGTTATTTATTGTTAATTATTAAGTTTGTTTGGGTAAGGCATTAAAATGTCCAATTATTCTACTGAATTAGTCCAGATGGCTAAAAAAAAACAATGAGGTGGTCCTTTACAAAGACCCGTCCACATTTTATACTGTGTAAAATGTTACAGCTCATATATAAAAAAACTGGATTGTTGTTTTTTTTTTAAGATAAGCAAACTGCAAATAAATAAATAAATAAATGGAAATACTGATATTTCAATTTTGCTAGACTGAACAGAGTTAAACCCAAAGCCATTTTTACCCTGGGCAGATTTAAATTCACCAAAGAGGTTTGTCACTGATAGAACATTAGAAAGCTGTGTTTTTTTGTTTTTTTAATCTTGTTTCAATGGATCAAACCGTTCATCCTCTGGTATTTTGACAATTTGTTTTGGAGAATGAGCTCCAAGTGTTAAAAGGTTAGAAGGTCTCCTTGACATCAATCCCTCCCCAGCTTCTTTATGAGATAAAGGTCATCGTTCTGATTCACTCCAAAATATTAATACTACCATTTGATAATATAAGATTGCTTTTAATTTCTATCTGCCAGGGGTTTCAATAAAGGCTGTGCCAAAGAAAAATGTTTTAGATTTAGTTTTTTGTGGTATTGCACTCAATATTTTTTATTTTATTGCACTCTGAGGTTGGATTCAATGTTTTTAAAGATTATAATTTTGATTTATTCTAATTTGCAGGTTTGAGGACCATGCTGCTTTAGATGGGGGTGAAAATGGACTAACTGTGATCAGACAGATCCTAACTCTGGCCTCAGACCTTCTGTTGAACAGTGGGTAAGGCAGCCTACTGTGACTCCACACACACACACCTGGGTTTAATTCCTAATGGCACCTTGACGCAGACACAGCCCTCTGTGAAAAACACACGTATCATGTTGCATATTTAACAAGCTTTTCTGCAAGGCTTCCCTTGAATACAGTTCCAGCCCATATGCCACCTCATCTCAAGGTTAATTGTTGTGCTAATTTTGAGCCTTTGTCATGTCCTTCTTCCCTGGATAAACAACAGGCGTGTTTACCTGGAGGTGGACCCCAGACACCCCCCGCTGATTCAGCGTTGGGTGGAGGAGAACGTGGAGGGGCTGCAGTACGTGGAAACACAAAACGACATCAGCGGCAGGTCTGTGCTGAAAACCTCTTATTCAATCTGTTTTAGTGAAGACGAAAGCACCCACAGCACGTTGTGTTATCTATTTCTTTGTATCTGGTTTGTTTTGGCTCCTCAGGCCGAGATTCTGCATCCTCCAGAAAGCAGTCACATAAGGACCTTGAGGTGGATCAGGATTGAGAAACCCAGATCCTATTACGCTGGCTTTAGCTCAGGTCGCCCCGGCTCGCCTCCCCCCACCTGATCCCACCTTCCTTAAAAAAAATAAAAAAAATAACAGAACATTTTGCACAAATAGTTTCCATATCAGTGCTGCACTTTTAACCCGTCGACAGTTGGCAGTCACGCCCCAGCTTCACAATAAAGAATTTGTGTGGAACAGCACAAAAGCAGGCTCAGAGCTGAAGGTAATTACCAAAAGCTTTTCTTAGAACGCTCCCTCTCAGAATCTGCCTCACTCCTCCCAGGAAGCGTTCAGTAGTTCTGTGAATCCGCTGATGAACGGTCCTCCCCTTTCGCTCGCCCACCCCGCTGACTCAGATGCTGGCCATATGCATTGTTGAGCAAAAAGCTCACAACGCGGCTGTCGCTATTTTTTACCCCCCCCCCCCCCCCTCCATCACACAATCTGTTTCTCTCTTGCTGAAATAAAGCTCAAAGGCCACACAAAGCCTTTGTGTTTCAAATGTGATTTATGGGTGAAAATATTTCGCAACGAGTGTCACAAGAGCAGTCAGCATGTGTTTGTTAGCAGTAGTTGTTGTTTTTGACCCTGTGAATAATGACCGCCTTCTAAGCAGCACAGACGATGCAAGTTCCAGTTTTAATAGAAAAAAATTTACACATGTAAAAAGTACAAAATTGCTCTGCTGAGAAAAATAAAATGGCATAAAAGGTGTCTCATTGAGATCAGTGTCATTTCTTACGAACAGTATGTACATCCTGAAGCAGTGACAAAATCCACATCCATATTACTGGGGATTAACGCACTGTCCTTATGTGGGGTGTTCTGGTCCCTCCCACCTTCTCCACAAGCTCAGTCCTTAAAGGGTTTAAATCTGAAACCAGACATGCGAGTCTTCAATGAAATTAATCAGAAACATTTCTGTGACTGGCCTCCACAGGCACAAATTACCAGTTAGACTGTCTTTTTTTCTTCCTTTAGAACGTCAGGGGTCTGTTTAACACCCCCTTCCTATTTCTCCTCATACCTTAAAGGGATAGTCTTGTACGTAACGCAACAGAGGCTTTGGGAGTGGCAGCTGCTCGGCGCAGTCGGTGTGTCTGTTGATGACAAGGCGTGTGAGGTGCTGCAAAGATGGGAGGCTCTGGGGTTTGTACACGGCCTGCTTCAGTTTCAGTACTATAGACGTCTCCTGAGGGGAGAGCTCGGTGGGTTTTGCCGGGGCCGCCTGCTCCTCCACCTTCCTCTCCTCTGCTTTCCTCTCTGCGCCCATGTAGTGCTGCACCAGACTGGGAACGTTGGGAAAAGACGAGAGACTGGCCCGAGCCCCGGAGCTGGAGTCCAAGAGAAACTTGGCGCCACTGTACTGGATCCGTATGCTTGTGGGTCCGCGCGCCGTCCTAACCGATAGGGTCAGCATGAACAGAGGGTGACTGCTGTCTCGTACCAAGAAGGCTCCCTCTGGGGCTTCCTGAAGGGCAGTGTGGGCCTGAGCCGCAGTTATGGCTCCCCAGTACCATCCTGCATACACACATTGTAAATGTTACTCATGGAGAACATGATTACTTTGATCAAATCTAGATGAAAAACTGAAGAGAATTTATTAAACAGTGCTGCCTATTTTCAAAGGTATTTTCTTATTTGGTGGACATTTTTACTGATTTTAGCACATTTTTACTACACTGCACAATAGTTTTTTTTAATAAAATTGCACACATTAAACGAGTACTCTTAGGCGTAAACAAGAAAGGCACGCTTTCATGTATTAATAATTACCATTTAACCCAATGCACAGCTTCACACAATATATTAAAACTCAGCTCGCCCAAAATAAAATGAAGGAAAAAGTGTTGCAGATATTAAAAGACAAAAAAACAAACAATTCACCTGAATTTTCTAGATAGCAAAAGTTGCTGGCAATTGCCCGTAAGTCTTTGGTGGGATCCCATTTTGGAGGTGCACTCTGAAAGCATGGGGCAGGGGTTGTTGTACCCTCCCGCATGCCCCACGGGGCTGGAGTGGATGGAGGAGCAGGAAGAAGAGTCCTGGGACTGGGGAGAGAAGAAAAATGGTTAAAATAATAATAATAATAAATAAAACACTGTAATTTAAATCTATTATAAACAAATGAATTGTTAGTATTTCAAGTTTTTATTAAAAGCCACAGTTATTTTTTGCTTTTTTTTTTCCCCCCAGATAATACTGGGTTTTTGGGAATAGGTTGTAGGAAAAAAATTGTATTATTTATATATATATATATATATATATATATATATATATACACATACATATATATGTGTGTGTGTGCAATGGAAATTGAAGTCCATCAGTATTTTCTAGAGAGACATTCTTCCTATTTATTTGTTTCACTTTGCCTTTAAAATAAACTTAATACTAAGTTTAACTCGTAAATGTTTTACTGCGAACAAACAGGGTAAATACGCGCTCAGATGTGAAAACAAAGAAAAGTCTACTCACCCTCGTTCACAAAGAATCATGCTATAAAATCCTCTGGAATAAAAAAGCTTATGTCCTTTTTCTCTTCAGGAAATTAACGCACTCGCTTCGTGTTCAGGTAGAGCTTTTTTTTTTTCTTTCTTTCTAAAAGAACTAATCAAACCTGTCGTATCGGTTTAACATGAAGAAGGTAGACTGGGAGCGAATCACGAAGCCAAACAGGATATGTTGCTGTCATTAAAAAGCCACTTCGAGGTGCGCATAGGAGCAGGTTAAAGAAACAAAACCGACTTTTGCAACAAAAACGAAAAACTAATGATAAAAGGTCAGATGAGCAGCAGCAGCAGCGCTCCGGAGTGTGTTGTCGCCAGAATGAGAACTGAAGGACAAATGACTAAAGGCTTGGCTTTTAAAATTTACCGTTTCCTAGAAGTCGATTCTGAGAACTACTCACTGCGCCGGCGGTTCTGACGTCACAGCGGATGCGCCGCCTGCCGCTCCTGCCGCCGCCCCCCTGCGCGTTACAACACCTCCCAATGATTGACACTTGAATCGTCCGCGCGGCGTTTCTTCTCTCCTCTCGCCCCTCCTCCCAGCCTGTCGCGCGCGCCGCACTGCTCTCCGTCCATCTTCGCTGAAAACGGCGCGCGGTCGCTCCCAGGAACCACGCGGCAGTTTCTGCCTACTGGCTTTCCAGGAATAATTGCAGGCCCTGGCTCCGCCCCGCCGGGCGGCCCTGACAGAGCCCTCATTCTGGGAATTCACCGCCTCGACATTAAAGATAATAGGAATGCGCACAGGCTATTTCCAGTTATATAGATTTCCCTCGATCCTGTTTGGAAAAATACGGCTGGAGCTTTTCGTGGAGCTTCAGATTAATTACATTCGCGAAAATAGGTTGTTGTTGTTGTTGTAACGATAGTCTGGGAAAAAATTGCATTATTCTACTGTTAGGCCGAGGAAATTTCTGTCAAGCACTTTTATGTACCACTATGCGTGGCACATATAACTTGTTTTTTTTAATCGGGTTGTCGTTTACATATTATCACTTGTGATCAATTCCTGGAATAATTTAAGACCACTTAAAAGGATTCATCTGATTATTTTATCTTTACTTTCCTAGGTAATCTAGGATACTCATGGCTTGAGCTGTTTATTTTATTTTCTACTGTAGATATCTTCTATATTTTACACTATATCAAGCTTTATAGATCTGTTCTGGTTTCTCTATTCCTCGGCCTGTTTATTAAGTAGGCTACTCCACAGCAGATATTTACTTATTTTTCACTCTAAAAAAATAAAAAACAAAAAAAGACAAGTTGGTCCAATCAGGATATTTTCATGTATTTTTTAATTTATTGTTGTAAATCTGAGGGATGTCCTACTAAAATCAAAATATCTGAGTTGATTAGAAATTATAAACCATCTCTTCCATGTATTAATGCAATGTAGCATTAATACATGGAAAAAAATAACAATATCAGAATCAAAGCCATGTTCCTAAAATAAAAAAGTCTCCTGACCCCAGTGAGGGGAATCTTAACCTTGTCCCAGGAATTTTGGAATGAGCGTGCTTCTAAGAAGTCTTGTGGACTTTATCTATCCCTACTGGATGTCGCTGAGCAAATATTTTTTTGTGGCTCACAATGGAAAAAACAAGAACAAAAAAACACTTACATTTGGGGGTAATGTACAGACCCCCTAAAAAAAAAAGTAAAATAAGGAATGTGGTGGGGTTGATATGAAATCAGCTCCACATGAACATGTTTTTTTTTTTTTTTTCATGGATTTCATTATGTTTGCATCAGCTTAATAATATCTCTTTGAGTGAGTACTCTTAAGCAAACAGTTTTACTCACAGGACAATGATGCCCTCAAGCATGAGATAAGCAGATGGAGTGCCTTTGCACTTTAGGTTCAGTCAGGACATTTTAGGATTGTTTTATCTGCATGTTTGCATAGAGCTTCCTGCATGTGGACAGTCTTTATTTTCATTATCAAGTGGGAATGCTTATGCATTCCCACTTATTGTTTTTCTGTTTATATTTATTATTATTCCGTAGGTTTTTCTTCGTTTAACTAGTTCAACAGTTTTCAGCCGATTTAAACAAATTTGATATCAAAACCATTCGACGTAGCAACATGAGCCTTGGGGAAGTTGTTCCTCAGACCTTCCTAGCACTCACATTGAAGGAAGTGTGTCGATATCTTTTATCGTTTAGCTAGGAAAAAGGTTTGTTCGGGGGTAACAAATCTGTCCGAACCCCAAAATCAAGATTTTGACAATTATACACTTTTTTACATCGTCACCACGCCTAGACGAAATATTGTAGAAATATGAAAGTTACACCAGTTGTAGTCCAAAGATGGCTGACGCTCACGGTGAAAGAATTTTTTGAATACCTAATACGGTTTTGGCTCACCGCTCGTTTGTTCGGAGGGAAAGTTTTGCTTTTGAGAGTTCTGCTCTACCGTTGTGCTGCATGTTATTCAATGAGACCAGCAGGATTTCTCAAACCTTTATATTCCTCCTTCCCATTAAGGTTGTGAATGAGCTACATCCATGAAAGTTACCCCAATCGGAGACAAAGGATAGCTCTCGCTTAGACTGAAAGAATTTTTTAGATACCATTTACGGTTTGTCTTCAGCACTCGTTTGTTCGGAGCTGATAATCCCATTCAAAAAAGCCTGAGAACTAAGGAACGAAAGTGAAGCGCATGTCTCTCTGTCACTGACAGGCTCGTTAACGTCGTCAAGGTAACCGTGCTTCAAAGAGATTTTACCTCCACCACTTTAAACAGCACATTTTAATCTAATGGAGGGAGACAACACTGATTTAACATTAGGAAGTGGATACAATATGACTACTGGCCATGACCCTTCCCTTCACACGCAACCCTGATAGACTTTCAAAATAAGACTCCAGGGACCCTTCAAAATAAAAGCCCCTAAATTAAACTCATATTTTTTTCCCAGCATATGGCTCAACATTATGACCCAAACTCAACCACTTTTTTAAAAATGAGACTCTAGGGGGTTTTCAAAACACACCCCACAGAAAATTTCAAAATAAAAGCCTCCCATTGCCACTTTATCTACTGCCCTAATAACAAGGGAAAAGAGTGATTTAACGATTGGAAAGTCATCAAGTATCACTGCTGGGTCTGACCCTTTTCTCAACACACAACCCTGCTAGACTTTCAAAATAAGACTCCAGTGACCCTACAAAATAAAAGCCTCTATATTATACTTGTGTATTAATTGATGCAAATGGCTCAGCATTATGACCCAAACTCTACCAGCTTGTTTCTATTAGACTCTAGGGACCTTTTCAAAACATACCCCAGAGCAAATTTCACAATAAAAGTCTCCCATTTACGCTCTAATACAGCATCTATTCACCCAATAACATGGAAAACCAGTGATTTCATATTTAGAAATGGATTCTATATCACTGCTGGGCATGACCCTTCCCTTGACACACATCCATGATAGACTTTCAAAATAAGACTAAAGGGAACCTACAAAATAAAAGCCTCTTCCTTACGCACACTCATTCATTGTGCCGTATGGCTTGTAGCTATGACCCAAAGTCAACCAATTTCTTCAAATTACACTACCAAGGCCTGTTGACCACACACCTCAGTGCATATTTCTTAATCAGGTTCTAAGATTTACACTGTAATAAAGCATCTGCTAACCTTGTAACATGCAGCCTAAGCCTGCCAACGGTGCTTTCATTACCACAGCGGCTCGTAACATGCAGGTTCAATTTTTTTTATAAATTCAGCTCCTTAAGTGGTATTAGCTCTCTTTCTATAAGCTTCTCTCTCTGTCCTTCCTCTGCTTCTCATGGTCAGTCTTGCACATAGGTTTGTAGATTTTCAATCCTCTAAGGATGACACTGTTTTCTTTATGCTGATCAACCGACACATTTTAAATAATTTTCCAATTGTTTTGCCAAGTCTTGACATTTCCACATATGATTTCAAAATGTTAATACTTATTCAATACCATCGTCCTCAACATTTTACTTCCCATCCTTAAGCTACTAATTTTTTCTTCAACCAGATAAGATTAAAGTTTTTCTTTGTAATTTCTTTTCTACTTCAGCTAATTTCATACTTTTCAGCCTATGTTGTGAACTTTGGCTTCATTCTGCTCTGTTTCTGGACAGGAATTAAGCTTTTCTGTTTGCTGCTAATTCATAACACGCCTGACATGTTTCTGGAAAGTAGGTAAACCCCCCTTCAAAATTTCTTTATACATTTTTCTAGAAACTTGGGAGACATTATATTAAGACCCTTCTAGTGCCCACATTCAAGACATTTTTTGATATCATGTATGGTTTGGCTGTGCAGCTTTTAAGATGAGTCTGTTTCTGCAATTTTACTGCCAAATGATTCTACCCTACAAAATCTTCAGATGATTCAATTGTTTTCTGCAGTTTGAAGTTTCTGATGACTTCCTATCACATTTTCATATGTTCTGCAGTTAATTTCAGCTTTTTTCATTCAGCAAAAGCATTCCCACTTTGATGTTTCTCCGAAACAGCTTTTTCTAGTCAAGTGGGAATGCTTATGCATTCCCACTTATTGTTTTTCTGTTTTCAAGTGGGAATGCTTATGCATTCCCACTTATTGTTTTTCTGTTTTTCTTTATTATTATTATTATTATTATTATTCCGTAGGTTTTTCTTCGTTTAACTAGTTCAACAGTTTTCAGCTGATTTAAACAAATTTGGTATCAAAACGTTCAGCTTGTTCAGGAGAATTCTGCTATGACTTTTGGTAAAGATATTGTTCGTAGTTTTCGCGATATTCAGCTTTTTCTGCGATTTTTGGCCCCATTGAAATGCATGTAAAACTTCAAAAATTCCACTAAATCTTCAGCTACTTTGCCCTTTAACTACTTCAGCATACTTTCAGCTAGAAACACCATTCAACTTTTAAAATGTTTCCGTATCTTTCTGCTATTACTGTTTAACTCGGCTTTCAGCTAACTTTTACAGTTTTGCTTCAGTGAAGCTTCAAACTTTTAAACATTTTTTACAGATTTTCAAATTTATAATGGAAGTCTATGGACGGAATGTTCAGCTGCTAGAGTGTGCCACTCTAGCGTTTTCAAACATTTCACTCATGCCGAACAGCTTCAACTCACTCGCTCATTTTTTACTCTATCTAGATAAATTTTACATCAAAACGTAGGGATTTTTGTCAGGATTCAGGAAATGTAACCCTCATTTGTGTGGCATTTACGGTTTTCCGACAGTTTGGCCCAGACCACGAAGAAGTCCACACTTCCCCAATAGAAAGCCAATGAGAGCTCTCTGAAAATCCGAACTGAAAATTCAAAAAAACAGACTTTTTCGTATCGCTCCCATTCGGGAACCGTTCGACGTAGCAACACGAGCCTTGTGGAAGTTGTTCCTCAGACCTTCCTA